GTAAGGCATAGGTTCACTCCTATGGCATTTTCTGACAGGCAGGTTTCGAATCGCCTTGAAACAGCCACGGCATTGCAAAGGATTTAGCCACAGTCTCCCCTACTCTACCCACGGAACATGATTGTGCCAGAAATATGCTGATACTTCTGTTACCGTCAACCGGTGTAATGCATGCTTAGTAGCCATTCCTTAGATGGAGGAAGTGAGTAACCCTGACGTGAATCACGTTGAAACAAAACCATCACCAAAATATTCTTGCATTAACGAACTCACTTTACTCTCCGTGTGCGCTAACACACACACACACACACGAGCGACACTTTTAGTAACTCAAATCTTGTTGATTCAAGCCTACTAACGGTGTCATCACTTCATGCACCTTCTGTGCAAGTGCCGCATCCAATACTCATCACATTCACCTGATGTGGTCTTGAACCACGCCGGAGACACGGAATTAACGTTGGCTCGGTTACGCTGCCCTGATACCCACGATGAAGGAAAAAACCACAGAGGACGTGGATACAACCGTTTACTTCAGAGCTCAACAACGTTGGTGTCGTTGTGTCATATGTGGCATTGGCGCATGTGTATTTATACCTCATATGTGTGAGTCATACACGCGGTAACATCGAGACCTAGATGGAAAGATAATCCAGGAAAAATGTTTGTGCTAATGAGGGGGATTTGAGGATTCGCGCAGTTTGCGACTTGCTACAAAAAGGGGGATCCTGTGACGGAGGCTAGAGCGACCGGATAAACAAGTTTGAATCAACGCTGGCCACAACACACTTAACTTTTCAGGCGTTTGTACTGTTGTGATTAACATCAACTTGCACAAATGTTATATTCCTTGATCTTTGTTTCAGGACAACTCAGGTGGGTAATCGGCAACAGCATCAGTGACCATTTCACCTATGGAATACACTTTGGTGTATTCCATTCATATCAATGTGGTACGAATGTGCAGACTGTTAATACTGCATAACTGCGCAGTTCAATCATCAATCCTCACCTCAAGCAGATTGTAAAAATGAGTGGAGTCAAAAGCAAAATATCATTGGTTTTTTAAAAAAAGCAATAAACCATTTAGCTTGCACAGTTTTTCTGCCTAAGCAGTGTCAATTTAGCCTCCTTGGTATATTGTAACCAACGTGTGCACGATTGCCACAGGTGTCTTGCAAGAAATTAGGGCTGAAGAACATTCACTTATTATCTGTATTAAACCAATGCGATGGGAACACTCATTTTTTAAACCATCAATTAATGTTTTAGCACTCTTACAGGTATGATTAGGCATTTTTCAGGGCATTTCTGTGGAGCATACAAGATTTTCATGCACATTAAATTTTGTTTAATACTATGTAGCCTTACCGGCTTCATTTGTACTGTTATTTTAAGGTAAACTAAAGCGGTTGTCAAACATTCTCCTTTAAATCATAATCTGAATTCGGCTTGGTTGAAACAGAACAATTTCAGGTCAAACTCTAGATTGTATGATCTCGCCAGACCACTTGCGATGTCTATCGTTGACCTGAAATAGCCATTAGAAAAACTGATGATGCTCTATCAGGAATATTTGTGACCTAAGCGCAACTTTCGTTAACTTTTCCCATCATAATGTGGTTTAGAAGCCACTTTGTTTTATTGTTGTTGCTTCAGCTTACTTTAACCAAGTAGTTCTGACACCATACGTCGCAAATGCTCAGACAGTTCGGTCTGTATTTAACTTCTTTTACTCGAATAGTGATCCTAGATAACATAGTAGACTAAATTGATCAGTCTTTATCTGGTCAAAAATGGACATGGATGGACAGTATATTTGTTGGTAGCACATAGAATAACAGATTGGAGCATATTTCATTGTTTGACTCACAAAATCTACTTTGAAAATGTGCTGTCTCTCTCAGTCATTTGTTAGCTACTTGATATAAATTACTCTACAAATGAATTTGAATTATTTTAATTCGACTTTAATGAAAATCCATAGACCTCAGGCCTACGAAGGAGGCACTTTACGCATTTGCCTGTATTTAACTTTCTTCGCTTAGTGCTATACCTGGACCTATTAAACTGTGTGTTAACTAAAAGTCACATTTATATTCTTATCCATGTTATTACACTGCGCTATCACGTGTGCAGTAAATGTGTTCATGAATGATCATCCGTTTACTTTAGGACGTTGTGGTTAAATGAACTGAAATGTGATGATGCGAATGCCGTACAAGTAAAAAACAGGCAAATAAAGAGATATGGATTAAAGCAATCATATACGTGCAGCCGGATTCAGAAATATAATGGTCAGTCAGCCCTAAATGTTCTTGAAAAATCGCACCATAATTGTGATTTTTTACACAGTTTACCTTTTAGCCTATTCGATTTATGAAACTAGACGGCTTGACCGATTCGCGAGCTACGCCACTCCAATAATATAGAAGTGGCACTTTATAGTTAATCCGTTCGAAGGCTTTATTCGGGAATACACCAGAGGTGCAATTAAGCATATTTCATTTCATGAAGTCGTCCTGGCTCAACACCGTTTATCCTAATGCTAAACCCACACGTGATGGCGCTAAATGGCACCTCTCACACCATCCGGAATGACAGAGACCAATCGGATTTGGTTGGGTTTTCGGTGAGCAGCAATTAACGTTTATTCATAAAATTAATGAGGTGAGACAGGAACTACCTAGCCTTGCTAAGACATGAGTTATCACGAATTCCAGGTTCGCAACCCATACCAATATGGCCAAACACAATAGTGTACTCCTCAAAGGCACAAAACGGGAAACAGTATGTAGCGACGTCAATAAGGTCATACTTGTAAACTTGTAACAAGACAAATATCAATTCAAATGTCAATACCACACAAATATCAATACATCCTCCTCGTTGCTCGGTCCTCCCACTTCACATCCTCGTGAGCCAATTATCTAACTGCTGACGTCGTCATGCATGAATTGAATTCACATGAGGGCGATGGATTGTCGGACTACTAGACTTGAGCAGAAGTGCATTACTCCAATCAAAAGAGGATGACCAAAGCGCTTGAGGCACAATCGTTATGGCATGTGGTAACGCGTGCAAGAACGCGTTAATTGCAACTGTCAATTAGTTCAAAGACAACGGGGCTCTTGGTTGGCAGTATCACGTCTGCGGCACCATTAGTAGTGCTGCTTGAACTGCTTTGTATCCCTGCTAGTTGCCCTCTTCCCTCCACTTCATCTTAGAAGTGGAGGTGAATTGGGAATTCGTTTGTGAGAGCGGAGGCTAGGAATGTAACTCGAAATTGCGAATGTCAGTGCATGCTTTGAATCGATAAACGGAAATAAGCCAGCCACTTGTGGATAGACACAACTGTTAATTTTCTTCATCTCTGTCATAAGATTGCCCATCTGTAGTCGCTCTTAGTCTGACATTTAGTCTACGACCGATAAGAACTTGCGAAGGTTACATTAATTGAGAATGGCTCTGCCGATGGTCTAGCGGACAGACTGCGTGCGAATAAGCGGACAAAGCGACAGTTAGCACTTGACGAGCGTGGTTCTATTGGCATCCCCAACTATACGTCCCGAGAGTCGCCTCATCTCCGTCTAGATGCACCAGTGGTAGTCCCTGAACCCCATGTCAAATCCTCAAGCATGAAATCTAGTCAAATGAATGATTGACAATTGCTGCGGGTTGTGATTGCTGTTCTTTACTGTCTCCAGTATAATCCCAACTGGGAATCTTTCTACTTAGGCAATACTTCTGCACACTGATGACTACTGAAACAACGAGGGTGAAAACTAAACAGCAAATATTTATTGCTTGACTCACACAATCACCCTCTCACAGTTTGCTTGAAGCTAGGCTGGTGTTATTTACGCGAAGGCGAGCATTATCTTGAGGCGGGACAGAGTGTCAGAACTATTCAACTCCGCAAAAATAATCAGAGTAATTCAGGAACTGCTTTGTTCATACCTTTGGCATCACATCTATCAAATGCCACCCATAAAATCACCACGTTTTTGTCGCTGTCATCACGATTTGTCACCACCAAATCATTCAACAACTACGATTTCATCCAGGGGTAAGCGTTGGCGTTGCGACTGCCGATAGGGTGGAAATTAGCGCTATGCACAAAGCCCAATATATTCTGAAACAGAGTAAGATCCAATAAAGCACTATTTGAGCAGACATATCGTCTGACTGGACGAAACGGAATCTTGGTACTCAGGCTTCAAATAATACTGCGGGTTTCGTAATTTGGGCAACATTACCATCCACTGAAGGCACCGATATGTGCCCCTGGACAACACCAGAGCATCTGATTACACTGCACTGACACACGCCGAAATCAAGCAGATCAGCAATTGTGAAAATACAACCCTCTATTACATGGCCGAGTAATTGGGTTGCCGTAGTTTTCCAATGCTGTGTGTGACTAATGAATTTGCTAACAAAAACAGCTGGGGCGAACTACAAGTGAGTTAAGGGTCAGATGAGTGAAACGAACCGTGGAGGTGTTCCGGGCACCGGGGTGTATACGCAAATTATCACGCATTAATGATGAGCGAACTGTCAAACGGGGCGCGGTGACGGAGTTTGTGGCGACAGAGTTAGTGAACGTGAATTAAAATAATCCACTACACACTAAACGCATCCAAAGTGGCACTACGGCACGCATTCTGCGTCTGACCAAATGGCATATTTCCCGGTCTGAACAACACACACCATTCCTCCGGCACTCATTGTCACTTGCGCAAAAATTCCCCAAAAGTGGCTCAACTACTCTGTAAGGGAGAAATAGAAATAATCGCGACTTTTAAAACTGCGCGATTCGATATACTCAAAAAGGGTGTTCGTGAGTTTTATTTATGGAATTAAGGTAAACAAACTGGTAGTTACATAATCAGGTAACAAAATTCAGCCATGGTTACCCAAAGCGCAATCACTGGAGCACAGGTACACCACAAAGCAGAACAACAGTTACAATAGTAAAATGCTTGCATAGGTGAAGTCTACAAAAAGAACATGCGACTCTGCTGAACAGCGTTCACTCTGAACCGATTCTGATCCAATAAATGATCTTGGGGTCTCGAGCCCTTCAGCCAGTCGCGAGCACGGAAGGCGGCCAGGTGTGAGTAGAACGTGGGTGCCGGGTAGGATACACTCCGGCAACAACGCATGTACGCATGACACAGGTAGTACGTGAAGGATTGTAAAGCATTCGAGCTCCAGTTGTTATCATCGTAGAGCACGTGGTAATGCGCAGGTTTTGAGGTTCCCTACAACATTCACAGTAGGTCTAGTGCCCGCACTCAACAAATCTTCACATTATGGTCTCTTCAAACGACTTGGCATTCACCAAAACACACCTTCATCTAACATCGATTTATCTATTACTTGGTTGCTTCTTCCTCGTCGTCTCAAGTGCCTTCTATCCTAGCGCGCTGGACTACAATCCGATCGACCTACACTCGCACGACCTACCATATGACCGCAACATCAACAGGGAGTTATTACACTCTAGAATTGGCAGCAGAGTGCCGGGGTTGTGGTCACGCAAATTCAGCATGATTTCTTTCACACACTGTACAATAAAAATCAAATTAACAGCTCGGTATGCCTTAGGCAGGGAGAATTTGATGCTTACTGACGAATCGTACCACATTCATCGGTCAGATTTACAGTATCTACAGAAATGCCTTGTGATTCTTAGGCAGAGGGCTGGATTGCTACGCGCACAGAGGAAAAGTGTCTGATTTCTGACTTTTTACGTTTGATTTCATTTCAGGTGCACTTTAACACGTGTAATCCGAACATTTAACTTACCTGAATGCCCTCTTGTGAACAGAGGTAGAAATCGAATTCGCGTTTATGCGTGATGTGCGTGTCTACCACAGTGCCTGGGTTGACATTTCGCGCTCTACAAGGATAATAATCCCGGGGAAGCCACGCACCAAGCGCATGCAATAGAAATCCTGTCGTTTTAAAAGCCTAAGCTATTGTGACTGCACAAACGCCGCAGCCTCCTGAATTGTCTTCAATTCGCGACCGCCACCACGGCTTCACTTTCGTTGCTGATATTCACATCCTGTCTCAGCGTGTACCTGTGTAACGCCTCGAAAACCTACCAACATCTACGAAAACACGTCTGTAGAATAGGTCCCACCTATTCAAGCATAATTAGTCACGGCCAAATAGATGTACCACCCCAATAACCGATTACATGCACCTTTGATTACCAAACACAACGCAAGCATCAGTCACTATACAGCAATTACATTCCTGCACACTCATCAAGCAAAGATGATGGACTTCTTGGTTGACCTACGCAAGTCATTAAAGACTCATCCCAAACCCATTTCCAATAAAAGTCACTGAGTCTATGTCATGCATGGTCACAAACGGGCCTTTACCAAATTTCGCTTACCTCCCTCACCTCGTGACGTCACTTAACGCAACTACCGCAGCCTTACCTTGGATCTGTTGGGTTAAAGCGGATGTGATGGCGTTTCTGCACCACGATAAACGTAACACCAGGCTCGTAACCCTGTTGCAGAGAGGCGCATGCCTTCTGAATTGCAGTTAATTCCTCCCGCAACACCGTCTCGAATTGGCCTTCGGACACGCCGTCTCGATAGAAGATTATTTTATCCGGAAGTCGATTGTTATGCTTGCCAAAAACCTGAATGTGAATGCAACAACACCGACGACAGTTAGTAAGAATAAAATCTAGTACACCCTAATAACTGCATTTAAATTAACTACACCCTCTTTCCTTCACACTCGTACTAATTTCCTTTCGCCAATTTTCCGCCTCAATCAAGTTCATTCGAATCCTCAATACTTCAGCCTTCCTTCGATTTCAAGCATCTCTTCAATTATATCGGCTGCAATAAGACTCGTATCAATCGACAATGGCATCTCATTAACAAGCCACCCACTTTCTGCTATTCTGCCCTCCACAGCTTTTCTCTAAACTGCGTTCTGCTGAGACCAAATACTAAGCAACAGAACAGGTTTCCAACTTACATTCAGCAAATCTGTCACAATTAATTCCATTGCGTCAATCACCTCACGAGTGGCCTTGTCCTTTATTCTAACTCGGTCTTGCTGTCTTACGACGGCCGCATATTGCATGAGGTCTGGCGAAATCGACGCAATGACAGCGGCGACTGACTTGCTGAGTTCGCGGTTGCCACCAGTCGGAGCCGGATGGGTCACGTCAGCACCCATCACCATCATCAACTTGTCGTCAATTTTCAAACTGTTCACCAACCAATTGGTGCCACCTAATTTCCCATTTATCTTCAACAACAGGTTGGCTATAGTGTGCACGTGGACAGGACGAAGAAAAGAAAGCACATTGATTTATCAGGTCGGCACACAGGCAACAATTCTGTCAAATTACCGACTGGACTGAATCACCAAAGCCATGGGTCAGCCTCAAATTGCCCTAACTAAAACAACTCAATCGACCCCAAATTATTACGACTTACTCTATTTAAAAGCACTTTAATGCTAATTTCTTCCACAGTGGACGACTTTGCCCTATCTCAACTCCCCAATTCTAATCAGTACATCTCTCGACATTTACATTTACACATTCCTCTGGCATTCATCGAATTTCTGTTCCAGATGAGCAGGCGGGACCGGTTGTGCTAAGAATGGCTGCGCACTCACGTCCAAGCCACAGTTGTTCGCGGCGCGTGGAAGTTCACGCAGCACCGTACTTATTCCCTGCTGTGAGAACTACAAATTACAACAGAGCTACTTAATCAAAGTTACAGACATCAAATGACAAAACAAATTACTTCAAGCTGCAAAAATTAAAATGACGCAAACCATGTAAGGACTGCCTCCGTTTAAAAGCAAATCAAGCCAACCACACACTAGTGATTCATTGACAATCTACGTTTCACGAAGACACCCTCAGACTTACTCTGGAGACAGGAGTTGCGAAGACTGCCCAAGTCACCTGGCCAGATGCGGGACGGTAGAATTTTAGAGGATTCCACTTGCCTCTGCCAAGAGACATTGGCGCACCTTGGAACTGCCCCGTTGGCTGTGGCAGCTCTCTCGCATCCACTGTTACAGGTTTTGAATTTGGGAGTTTCAGTTTGAACTGCTTCAGCAGACAGTGTTGGCTTTAAAAAACAAGCATATTGAAAAATCCTAGTGAAATGGAATGCCAACAACACGTCTTCACTTCCTGACTTTCTTTTACTCAATCACAATTAACCAAAACTCGCGCAAATAAATGGCCCGTATTTTACTAAACCACCTTGAATAACAGATCAGTGAAGGCAACTAATACCGAACGGGGTCAAGTTGGACAAGTCTGTCCTCCTTCACCTAACCACTTCCTGACTACTTCTAAGCACAATCATTATCCACACACAAACGGCATCTGTGACGGTAGCCATACCACTTAGGCTTTCGACAAATTTAACTGGATGCACAACCAGACTGTTTCGTTTAAGTTCACGAGTCTAATAAACGTACTTTCTCATAAATTGATTCACGAATGAGTCCAGTTCCTTGAATCGGTCTCCGGGTCTAACAGCGGCGCAACGAATGACGGCGCTTGCAATGTCTCCCTTGTCAGCATTTGGATTTTGATAGGGCAAAACAGTTAACAATTCCATTGGAATATACTCGTTCTTATCCTTTTTCGTCTAGTAAGAGGGAAAAAAATATCACAACATTACCGCGGGAGTGGACCACTTTTAAAAGACCTACAATAAGCCACTTCGTCTTACGCGAAGATGACATCTCACACAACAAATTCACCAATTCATCCACTTTCTATGGAAACGCTGTCAGCCCGGTCAAACCAAACGCATTTTCAACCTCATTACATTTACGTCATGGAAAGTAAACGAATTGTGTGCCTAAGGGAAAACTACCGTCAATTTACCACTTAGCAAAGACACCAACACAGCACGGAACAGCACATCACAGATGTCTAAAATCCCATTTCAACAAAAGCGCCAATCTTAACGTGGCATTATGGCGATAGCCCACCTTAACTTAACACTTTACACACTTGCCGATACATCGCACCACATTTGCCAAACCCTGTTGCCGGTAACCACGGAACAAGACCACATTCACCCACCAATTGCCTATACACTCTAACTTGTGTGGTAGGCTTAGCCAGTGAAAAGGCAGGCAGTCCCCACAATAGCAACAACGACAACAACAAACACGAGCAGACTGAATGCGAAGTTGCCGCAAGGAGGGTGCACCCTTGTCCACATGCATCCACACACTCCTTCAACTGACCACCACTTCTATCTGTGGTAACAGTCCCCATTTTTCAAACACACTGACACACCGCACACACAAGACATCCTAAGTTCTGTTCAATTCTACAACAAACCGAGTCTAAGCTCACAAAACCAAAGTATAGACGGACATCGTCTGTCCTCAAGGACTATGTGTGCTGCTGCAATATTACAAAGTTGACTCATTGCACACACAAAGAATCACTAACCTTTATGCAAGGAAGTTCTGGGTATTTAAGCTTAATGGAGTACTGCTTATCAAAGTACGCCATTATACTAATTTTCAGCTCTGGTATCATTTCTCGCTCCGCGGAATCCGGTGAAAGCCCAAACACCGTGAACCGTTTCTTGTAGCTTTTACCTGAAAGTTTCAATTAATGCAGTTATCCAGTGATTATGCAAAATTGGAGCTTGACGTTCGCCAACTCATACCGTTCCATGACTGACCGCAACTCGCACACACATACACACACAAACAAACAAGACTGACTTATTGCCAGTTGATTTCTCACTGTGTGCGCACTGATTGAGAAGAACCTCATGCGATTCAAGACATTTAACCCAAATTGCCGAACGAATGCTCCATCAATATGACACTTTTATCAATATGCAGATAAGACTGATACACTTTTCGCCTTTCTGGCGAAGCACTCATTTTGCAGCGGTGGTTTCACACCTAGTCACCTGAGCTATTTTCTAGTAATAAGCTCGCGCTTGAACAATGATCCCTGTCACATCAAGATAGGCACATCTGACCATTCGTTGGAATATGTCTGCACGACAATTAGGCATTGGCGAATGACCGACTTTATCAGGTTCTACACACGGGCGCAAAATGTATCCCAAACAACTAGCCATGAAATACGACTTCCTAATACACCTAGATCTAACACTAATGCCCTTTGCACATAACACACCAACATGAACACAAAATAAGCATGGAATCGGGAAATGCAGGAAGCTCCTCTTTCCAAAACTCCCAATACATTTCTGAAGGTGACATAGGTTTACCATAGTAAATCACCGAAAACCAACTAGTGGAACTATACAAGAACGCTTACCGACCTCCAAGTTAAAGACACGATTCAGTGTGAGTCACGCAATGAGTGGGAAACACCTTCATTTTCAAATGACCTAACTAACAATCCCACTTGCGTAATTTTGCTGCGACTTCATTCTACGTTCAACATCTCAAACGGCTCATTACAACCCTACCTTCTTTAATAACTCCACCCTCTCCCAAACACGCAAAGTTCATCCACTTCAACCTGTCGGTTCTCGTTGGTTATGCGAGCGAAGAATCCACGTAGACATAGTGTGCTACACTTCTATAGAATTGGTGATTATTTCGCTACCCTATGCGGGTCTACGCCCACGAAGTAATACAATGCGTGTTTACAACATAAACTATTCCCAACACAAGCCAATATCCCAACTACGATCATCAACATTAAATGCTACCAAGCTAGCGCTCGTGATACCAACAGTATTGGTTCTTTACTGTGCATGCTACAAAACAAGCCACCAGGTTACATTCCAGTCAATTGTTTCGCGAAAGACCTGCAAGAAATTCATACACTACCTCATTCAAATAAGCCATTTCCACAAGCCTACCTTTTTCAGTCTTATAGTGATCCGCTTCTACACGTATCCCGTTAATATCAGCGAGCATCATTGGCCAGTTGCGTTGATCATAGATTGATTCCTCATATTTGGCATACAAAATGTCAGCCAAGTTTCCAGTAGGGAAAAACGCCTTATGAACCTGCAATATAACAAACATCCAATCATCATAACTTTAAACACATGCGTCTACACTATTTTTTTATTGGTTCCTTCATTTCCACACTTTCTACATCAATATCCACATGCGCTTGGACACTTTATCCACGTTTGAAACCAATCTGATTCACCATGGTAATCGCTGTAAGCATTGACGACGGATGTCTACTCAAACACAATTCACCCATGTCAAGGGCTAGGCTCTTCAATGCAAACGACTAGCCCACATCACCCTCGTTTTAAATACGGCGATAACCCAAACGGTAACTCACATGAGCAACAATAACGGTGACTCACCATATCGATGTTCATCCTTACTTTCCACTGTGGTCGAACGCTAAACATGAAACCAGAGTGAATCACGAATAACTTCTGATCCACTCTCTGTTTGGGGTCGGGAAAGAACATGGCGGACCGACCGAAATTGACAAATGTCTTGCGGTTCACCCACTTCAGAAGATTATCCACCATGTTGATGGCGTCTTGTGGGATCTCGGACGTTCTCGCGTAGGGATTATTCAAGTACTCAAATATACTTGAGGCGGAGATGCGCTTCACTTCCTGTATGGTGTATTCCAACCATAAGTCATCGCGCTCAAGTGGGTCAGCCACGGGAACCAAACGCTTTACACTTTCCGCACCCACACCATCCAACTTCTTCAAGGAGTACAGGATACGCCCGCCATCGTAAAACGTATCTTCGGGGAACCTTAAAAAAACATTCACACTTCCATGCAATACTTCTACAACTTCTGAATGATGCCACTAATGAATGTTTGAGGTAAGCAAACAAACAAACAAGTTACAATATTTCTTCAAGTTAGCTCGAATCAGTCACTTCACTTGCCTTCAAGTGACAATTCCTCTAAATATTCTAAGGATTTAGAGATAAAGGCTCTTAGAAATCGCACAGCACCTCATACTTACGATGGGCATGAGAACTGCACTTACAATCACCAAAATTCGTTCTAAACTACCTTGGCACACTACTAGTAGTACTTGTGACATGACCCTACAATCCACCCTCTGTATACGTCCGAACTACGCATCCTCCTCGACTCTGTCAACACATCTGCTGCTTCACTCAACCTCAGCGAATCCGTATTCATGCAACCCTGTTTCGGAAATTCCCAGCAACGCGAACCTACGACGCACCCAGGCTTGCCTGTATTTGCCTAGAACCTGCAGTAAAATGCCACCTACCAGTAACAATTCACAAAAAATCCAAATGCATCCATACTCGTTGACAACAATCTTCAATAGATTTCTTAGAGTCCTTGGTTTGGCTTCAAGGTCGTGGTTTTCCTCGCGAAATGCTCTCGTTGGCTCCAAGTCATACATGTAGACCAGCACATCCGAGATATCAAAGTCCCAGCAATTGACAC